AGAGCGGTGAAACTTTGATCATGGGTGGTTCCACCAGGGAGAAAGATCCATTCACGGCAGGGCACACCTCCCAATTCCCACTGTCCGCCCCCCCCGCAAGGCCTAAATGCAGTCCGTGCTGATGGGAAATGTGCCCCCCCGCCGCAAAATCGGGGTTTAGTTCATGGGTAACCTGATTTGCACACGCACACACCCCTCTGAAAAAACACCCAAGAGGTTCTGAATGATTGGCTTTCTGCTTGTTAATTGAAGAGAGGTCACCAGGACGACTCTGCATCCTTTGGCATCCAGCTTCGTACTTTGGTTAAATCTGCCCCTGTGTTGCCTGAAAGAGGCTGGGAGACTGAAAAGCTTCCTTGGGGCTGGTGGTTCACTTCTGCCGCCAGGTGCCGCCACCTTCCAAAAGCCTAAAAGAGAAGCAGACAGGAATCATCCCAGGCGGTGGACATCCCACAAACAAATGGGTATTTCCTCTCCTTTTTTTGCTCCACTTACTCTGGCTTCTGGCGTGCTTACAGAATTTATTTACTTATTTATTTATTTAATTACATTTATATCCCGCCCTCCCCGCACGCGGGCTCAGGGCGGCTTACAAAACACAGGTGTAATACAACACCACAGTTAAAACAATTTAAACACAGTTAAGCACAGTAGGCAACTCCCAAGGATCCATCGCGACTAACATACTCGCTCTCTATTGCACACCACATTGAGTCAGAGAGGGGGATGCTATGGCCCCGATGTTCGGTAGCCAGTCAGCCTAACCCAGCAGTAACTGCTTTGAAGTCACCCGTTGGTGGTGGCGGCGGCTCCTATTTGAAAGCCTGGCGGAAGAGCTCCGTCTTACAGGCCCTGCGGAACTGTAACAAGTCCCGCAGGGCCCTGATCTCCTCTGGGAGCTCATTCCACCAGATAGGAGCCGCCACCGAAAAGGACCTGGCCCTTGTGGTAGCAAGCCTGGCCTCTTTTGGGCCCGGGGTCACTAGACGGTGTTGTGACCCCGACCGAAGTGTTTTAAACAGTGAAAGCTTCATGCAGCCTAGAAGCCGTGTGCTGTTAAAAGCCTGTTTTGGCCGCAACTTGGACAAACTTGGTGGAAATTCTTGGGATCCTGTCCTCCCTCCCACTGAGGGCCGTGACCGAATGAAGGATTTGCTGTGAGCCAGCGTTTCTTCTTGCGTCTGACCCCATCACCAAGGGTTTGCATGCTTCCTTACAAACTGGGATTGCAAACCAAGGTTAAATTCCTGCTCCTAAGGAAGGGTGCAAAGTATAGCTTGTGGTTCGGATGGAAGGACCAGCTGCAAGTTTCCATAAATGGCTATGTCTTTTGTTAACCAGCCATGTGAGGGGAGGAGGGAGTTGGGTAAGCATGAGGTTTCTCTGGCTTAATCCCGCAGCAACCAACCAGGGTTTGTAGTGATGTCTGAACGGTGCCATGCCGATCCTCCAGCCACTTTCCATTTATCAGACAAGCAGCTGAAGCAAGACCTGTCAAGCCAAGCCATGAAAACATCTGCAAAAAGGGCCCTGAGGCCAGGAATTACAGCTCAGAGCAGTGACTCACACAGAAGTACAACAGGCAGCTTCCTCCAAAGCCAGGCTGCGCCTCCACATGGCTGGAGCGACGGAATAATTTCAAAGCAGAGAAGGAGCAGGTTTACACCCTCACCTCGACCAAGTGTGGTTGAACAGGTGGGCTGGGCCAGACCAGTATGTCATACAGAGATGCAGCTGACAACCTCTGCGAAGGACTACTTTTGCACATATTCACAGAAGGTTTCAATTTGTTGTTATCTCATGGTTTATCTGCAGGTGCCCCCCAATGAGTGCCCCTTACCCTCTTGAGCAGGCTCCTGTCTTGGGCCTCCAGGAAATGCTCGGCCACCCAAGTCTGTAGGTAACGCCGTCTCCACGCCTTCCAGCCCCACTGGGCCAGCCTCTGCCTCGCCTGTAGGAGGAGAAGCGCATTAAGGGCTGGTTGAAGAGCAATAACAGGTGCGTGGGGCCTGGCCAAAAGCAAGCGCACGCTTTCCAGGCTTCCCATCCATATGGCTGTGCAGCACCACAGGAAAGGCTGGTGGGAGCCGTTTGTTTAGAAATTTCTGTCCCGTTGTGGGGCAGAAAAGCAGGGTATCGGTTAAATCAGAATAAAAGATCCCTCTCTGCCAGCAGACCATTTGTTGGTCTGATCCCTACTGAAGGCCCACAAGTCGAGGCACAGAGGCCTTCCATGTCATTCTACAGTAACTTATATTTGCAGGTATACTGCCTCTGGATATGGAGGTTCCATTAAAATTACAGTGTCTGTAATCAGGCACAGGTCTGTTCATAATAATATACCTTTCCAAAGCACTTTGCACGCATCGTTTCAGTAATCAGAACTTCAGACGAGCCCTGCTGGATCAGACCAGTGAAGGTCCATCTAGTCCAGCCTCCTGTCTCACCCAGTGGCCAACCAGTTCCTCTGGAGGGCCAACAACAGGGCAGAGAGGCCAAGGCCTTCCTAAGAACATCAGAAGAGCTGTGCTGGATCAGACCAGTGGGGGTCCACCCAGTCCAGCATCCCGTCTCATCCAGTGGCCAACTAGTTCCTCTGGAGGGCCAAGGCCTTCCCTTGATAAGAGCATCAGAAGAGCCCTGCTGGATCAGACCAGTGAGGGTCCATCTAGTCCAGCCTCCTGTCTCACCCAGTGGCCAACCAGTTCCTCTGGAACAGGGCAGAGAGGCTGAGGCCCTCATGAGAACATCAGAACAGCCCTGCTGGATTAGGCCAGTGGTCCATCTAGTCCAGTCTCCTGCCTCATACAGCAGCCAGCCAGTTCCTCTGGTGGGCCAACAACAGGGCACAGAAGCCGAGGCCTCCCCCTGACGTAGCCTCCTAGCACTAACGTTAAGTTTGCTGCCTCTGTATGTGGAAGTTCCCTTTAGTCTCCAGGGCCAGTGGCCACTGAGCTGTCCTTCACAAATCTAACCCCCCTTCTAAAGCCATCTGGACAACGGATGACTAAATCACGCCGGCTTGTAAGTTCTCCTTCACTGTAAAGTTGGCCGGTATCCTTCGTCCCTGTATTAGGCAGCTGGAGAAATAAGGGAAGAGTTGTTTCATTCGCTCCCTCAGCAGGCTCACAGCTGGGACAGGGACAGAGGACTTCCCAGCTCCCTCTTCACATCTGCAGCACATCTGTGTGTTTCCAAACTTCAGTACTGCCACATGGACTCAAAGACTGGCTGTCCTGTGACCCAAGGCTTCCCGTCTCAGCGGATCAATTTCTGGGGAAACGGGGTTAACGTTCTCTCCCCCCCCGCCCCCCTCCCGATTCCCACTCACCAAGGCTTGTACCACCCACTCGGTCCGGCAGGCATCTTTCCAGAGCAGCCACGCCCTCACCAGGTGGCGTATCCTCCAGGACTCCCGGAAACGGCGCAAGAGAACGTTGTGTCTCCAGAGTCTCAGGTATTTGCTCCTGGAGTTGGGTCACAGAGGGACAAAGAAAGAAGCAACAGATTCGCTGGCAATTACAGTGTTATGCTCGCTCCAGAGCCAATGTTCCCTCCAAGCTGCGTTCGTGTGAGCCAGCTCACAGTTTTTTAAGCCTCCGGCTCACACTGTCAGCAAGCTGCCAATGTGTTTTCCTATTCTCTATGTATGTGCTTGTCTGCTTTCACTTTCCCATGTATGCCTATTGATGCACTTAAATTGCCTAGTTGCAGGAACGTCCGTATCTCTCAAGGCCACAGGTGGTTGCTGGCGGGTAGTAGCTTGGGTGATCTCATGGTACTATCAATGAGAAGCAAATGTGTTATGATTAGCTAGAAGCGTTGCTTCCCAGGCTCAGTGGCGCGTGGGGGAACTCCCACAATTGGGCCTCAGCTTTTTGAATTTACTATAATCTCTTGGGCTCCATGCTTATCCCTCATTCTGAACAGTGATCCTGTTATGCACCTATTCCTTCAATTAAAGTAAAACCTTTTCTACGTGTGCTTCGTTGATGCTATGGGAGTCTGACACACACATTTTTGTCTTAGCTCAGGCAGGAAGGCTCCAGAGCAAATCTGTTTATGCAGCGGCCAAATCGCCCGCTCACAACTTTAATGCCAGTAGCTCACCAAGTAGAATTTTTGCTCACAAGACTCCACAGCTTAGAGGGAGCATTGCTCCCGACTGTCCTAGCATGGGATGGATCTTACATCGGGGGCTGGAATCCACTGAAGCCACAACCCAGAGGCTCTGCCACCTCGCAGGGCACATACCACCGACGGGATGGACCAGGTGCTTACCAGAGCCGCCTCGTAGAATCCATTTCAGCACTGCTGCTCCGGATCTCGGCGTGTTTCGCTTGCCGTTCTGCTCTGCCTGGACTGTCCGGGGGGCCCTGTCGAGAAGGCCCCGCCGTACTGCTTTGGCTTCTGTAGACGACCAGCCAGACGTGGGAAGCGCTGCCGTTCAGCCTGGCACGGACGGCTACGCTGGGAGGGAGTCCTTCCTCTCCGTTCCTTCTCTGCTCTTGAAGAAGAGAATCCACATGAATGGGCAAAGGATGATTTCCCACTCAGCCTTTTGTTCTGCCGCTGCCCCTTTTGGCTCCTCGCTGTTGCCGGGGGGGGGGGGGGGGGGGGGGAGCAAGATGGAACGACGGCGTCCAACATTGCTCGGGGCGCCTCCCCAAACTGTTGCCTAACTGTAGATAAATCAGCCCGCCTGTGCAAAGATCGCCTCGTCTGAGAGGCAGTGGCTGTCCAGGACCCCAGGCAGAGACAGGACTCCCCCGCCCCTCACACCTGAGATACTTTATGTGTAGCCAGAGTGGTGTAGTGGTTAAGTGCATGGACTCTAATCCGGGAGAACCGGGTTTGATTCCCCACTCCACTCGCACCTGCTGGATGACCTTGGGCAAACCACAGTTCTCTCAGAGCTGTCCTTGAAAAAGAGCAGTTTCTCTCAGAGCTCTCTCAGCCCTGCCTACCTCACAGGGTGCCTGTTGTGGGGAGGGGAAGTGGAAGGAGTTTGTAAGCCACTCTGAGACGAGTGAAGAAGGGGGGTATAAATCCAACCACCACCACCTCCTCCTCCTTCTATGGCAGATGCTGGGGAATGAACCTGCACAGGCACAGGCTTTGCTAGGCCCCCGTCTTGTGACAATCCTCCAGAACACATCAGCCAGACTCCTGCAGATCTGTGCAGCCGCCCCCCCTCACTGTTTTCTACCCGATGCCCTGAAAAAAGTAGAGAAAGAACCAGATTTCTTACTGCTCGGCCAGGAGAGGGGCATCTTCCTGAATTTGGGGGCTCTGACGAGGCCGCTCCGTTCCCGCAGGCACAGGTGGAAGGCGGCGGCTTTTGTCCAGTAGTTGCTGCTCTGAAAACGGAACGGGCAAAACTCATCCCTACTGCAAACGGGAGGGTGCGCTGCACTCCTAACAGGTACGTGCGCATAATACTAGATCTTGGGAGGGCACCCCCGGGTGAAGCTGGCAAGTGGCAGACTCAAGACAAAAGGAAGTACTTCTGCTGACAACGAGGTGTTGGGGACATGAGAACATAAGAGAAGCCAATGTGGGATCAGGCCAGTGGCCCATCCAGTCCAACACTCTGAGTCACACAGTGGCCAAAAAAAGTACCAGGTGCCATCAGGAGGTCCAGCAGTGGGGCCAGGACATTAGAAGCCCTCCTACTGTTGCCTCCCTCCCCTTACAAGCACCAAGAAGACAGAGCATCACTTGCCCCAGACCAAGAGTCCCTATCTATACCTTGTGGCTAAGAGCCACCGATGGACCTCTGCTCCGTATGCTTATCCAATTCCCTCTTGAAGCCATCCGTGCTTGTAGCCGCCGCCACCTCCTATGGCAGTGAATTCCACGTGTTCATCACTCTTTGGGTGAAAAAGGACTTCCTTTTATCCATTCTAACCTGACTGCTCAGCAATTTCATTGAGTGCCCACAAGTTAACTTACGGAACTCTCTGCCACAGGATGCAGTGACGGCTACTAGATGGAGGAGGAGACATCAGTGGCTGTTAGCCGGGATGGAACCTTCTCAGGGGGTTTAGGTTTTGGGCCAAAAACCTGCTAGGTTATAAATGCTTTAAATGTATATTGTTTATTTTTTAAGTTGCCTCAAGTCCCCGGGGGTGGGGTGGGGTGGGGGGGAAGCTGGATAAAAATAACTCAAAGAGATACAGCTCCCCACGCCCAGCGTTCACGAGCAGTATTCCTCTCGATCCCAGTTGTGAGGGGGAAGGAAAAGGGAGGGGCTTTAGCGAGGGGGTCTTGCGGGGGCATATGGTCAGCTGCTGTGATAAAAAGAAGGCTGGACTAGGTGGACCCTCATTGGTCTGATCCAGCTGGGCTCTTCTGATGTTCTTATCAAGGGAAGGCCTCAGACTCTATGCCCTGTTGCTGGCCGTCCAGAGGAACTGGCTGGCCCCTGTGTGAGACGGGAGGCTGGACTAGGTGGATTATTGGTCTGATCCAGCAGGGCTCTTCTAAGGTTCTAATGGACTCAGCCTCTATGCCCTCCTGAGGAACTGGTTGGCCCCTGTGTGAGGCAGGATGCTGGAATAGACTGGCCATTGGTCTGATCCAGCAGGGCTCTTTGGATGTTCTTTCCCCCACCTGCTGGACTACGGTCCCCATGCTCCGTCGCAAGGCCCGGGAGCCCCTGACGGCTTTCCTCCAGCGCCGCACGGCTTTGCCCCCAGCAGGTCTCTTTGGCAGCCTCTCCTCCTCCCGTCGCTCTTGGGCTCTCGAGACCTTCGCCTTCCACCTCTCGAAGCAGGAGGCCAGAAGCCGTTGCCGCCTGGCGCTCTCCAGCCAGACCCGGGCCTTGTGCCGCTCAGAAGCACGGGCTGCGGCTGCAGACCAGGAAATAAACGCCCTGGAAGAAGGGAAGAAAGGGACTGTCTGGGAATTCTTTCATGTTCTGGCACCGGAAGAAGAAGAAGAGGAGAAGAAACGAGATTGGATTTATTCCCCTTGTCCTTCACTCGGCGTCTCAGAGCGGCTTACAAACGCCCGTCCCTCCCCACAACAGACACCCTGTGAGGGAGGTGGGGCTGAGAGAGCTCTTTCGAGGACCGCCCTTGAGAGAACAGCTCTGACAGAACTATGGCAAGCAAGAACAATGTTGATGCTTGCCTGTTACTTCAGGGCCAAAGCAATGGGGGACTGGTTCCACCAGAAGAGCCCACATAAGGAGAATGCAGGTCTTTCCCCTGATTTTTCAGCTTTCACTTAAAAAAAGAAAAAGGTTAAGTTTCTAGTCCCTTTGACAGTCAACATAAAGACTGCAGGACAGTATTCTCAGAAAGAATTCCACCCCTCCGAGCACTGAGGCCGGTGACTGTAAAGCCAAGCCCTTATTTGTAAATGGCAGGACATATTTTATTTTATGAGTATTTTATGCAGTTAGGTTGATTAACCGTTTTAGATCCTGTATTCCAGGTCCGGATGGTCTGCATCGATTCTTGACTGCCGCCCGCCATCTTTAGGATCCCCCGATCCCCAAATTAGTGGCCCTGGGCCAGCTCTGCCAGGAGCGAAGAATCAGGGTGTGGAGAAGAAGGCGGAGTTCACTGAGTCTCCGCCCTCAACAGATGGCAGGCGGAAGCAGAATGCAGGAGGAGGCCGGTGGGCGAGATGGCAGGGGCGCCGAGCCAATCGGCCACTCAGGAAGGAGTTCAGGTGAGGCCTTTGGAAGGGGTCTGCACACACATCCCCAAGCTAACCTCCCGAATGATAAGGCCCAGAAGGTTGATTTTTAAATCAATAAATATACGCAGGAGGGGCTGAAAGCCAGCTGTGTGCAACGACGGCTAAATGGAACCTCTGTGTTCAGAGGCAGAGTATTTGTGAACAGTGTTCCCTCTAAGCTGAGTGAGTGTGAGCTAGCTCACAGTTTTTTAGCCTCGGGCTCACACATTGTTGTCTTCGCTCAGGAAGGATGGCCCCAGAGCAAACTGATTGATGCAGCAGCCAAATCGCTCGCTCACAACTGTAATGCCGGCAGCGCACAAAGTAGAATTCTTGCTCACAAGGCTCCACAGCTGAGAGCGAGCATCGCTTGTGAATACCAGTTGCGGGGGGGGGGGGGGGGCCCACGGGGGGGGGGGGGGGCAACAACAGGGCAGGCTTCGGCCTCCGTGTCACTGCTCGTGGGCTTTCTGGGGGCAAGCAAGCGGCCAGATCCAGCGAGGCTCTTCAGCTGTTCATAGCTGGGCTCCAACAGAACCCTGAGCATTGTTGGGCATCCTTTTCTTCCACCTAGTCCACTCTTGTAATTTGGCTTCCCTTTCCATTCGGACTTTTAAGTACCAGCAGGGAAGGGGATGGGGGGGAAGAGTCATAAGACCTCATTGCCAACCTCCAACCTTGGATATTCTCAACACAAGAGGCTGAGAAAGAAGCATCAGAGGCGGAACCAGGGCGGAGCTCCTCCAACGCCTCGCCAATTTTGCCTGCCAGCTACG